CTTTCTCATTGCACCAGACTTTCTAATCTCCCCTGCACACATGTAATTTTCCAGTCAGCCAGGAATTTTTGGAGTACTTATACAAACCTTTTTATGACTAACTTACTTCCAGGATCTCACTGTTAAATTTCTGGCTGGTTCACTGCTTGCCTCAACTCAGAATGCAATTTTGGTCTAGCATAGCTTCATATTTTCCCTGTCCATTTCCACCAAGTCTGCCACTTTTACTCAGCAGAGCTGTAGGTTGTTGCCTCCCACTGTGAATCTATTTTGTACACTTCTACCTAAATTTTTCAGTTTTACCCACAGGTGCAAGTTTATCCTTCAAGCTAGTAAAACTAGTTTCCACTGACTGAATTGGGAAAAGGATGATGGGGACAGTCCCAGGCAAGTAGGCCACAGATTCCAGTCATTCTTGCTGGAAGCTCTAACAGTGTTTCAAGAATAAACAATTCTCAATGGACAGTCTCCAGTAGCTGGAATGATTGATTTTTAAAAAATATTTTTTTCCTGTTTATGCATATTGTTTAGTATGTGTATGTGTAGGGGGATTCCCTGACCTCTTTATCCTGCCATTATCTTTTATTATGTTTTGAACACCAAAGGTGATAAATTTTATAAAGTAAGACAACTTTGTTATGACTGCTGCCACGGCTGGTCGCTAACCTCTTCATTTCACTGTTACTGGAAGTCACATTTCCTATGTGTTTTATCATTAATCTAAGTATATCTTGAGACACGACTGATAAATTAGACAATAAAAAGTAGTGTACAGAAACATTCTGATAAAATAAATTGATGTAGACATGTTGGTGGAAACAGATAAATTGCCTATTATGTACACCTTGCAAGATTAGAAATTCAGTTGGTGTTGTAATTCACCCTCTTGTGGCATGAGACTCTGAGGGTGGTTTCCAGCAATTTCAGCTTTGTGGCTATAGGTGTTAGGATTTTCTTTCAGGAAAAAAAAAACAAAAAAACCCCAGCTTTACTGTTCTGATGGAGCATGGGGAGACCCCTGAGACTATGGCCCCTAGTTACCCTTCAGGTCTGGAACAAAACTCACTCCTTTGGCTTCCAGTCAATCAATGTTGTTGTTGTTATGTGCCATGAAGTCGGACCCAACTCATAGCTACCCCTCCTTGGTTTTTGAGGCATTATCACTACAGAAGTAGATTGCCCAACCTTCCTTCCGAGGAGTGGCTGAAAAGGGAAAGGCAGTATTTGCACAGGAAGACAGCTTGGGGTGGGGCAGGTGTGCATGGGAGAGAAGGAGACACAGGGAAGAAGTAACTATGGGGAGGAAGTGGGAAAAGAGCTGTTATATTGTGGGGTGTTGCAGTCAATGTTATGAAACAAAATGTGTATGAACTGCTGGATGGAAAATGAATTTGCTCTGTAAACTCACCCAAATCACAATAAAAAATTTTTTTAAAAAAGAAATATTTTCTTTTAGGGCACACAGCAATTTTCATGTCATTTATTGGTGCTTGAGCTGGGAATTTGAAGCCCTGAGCTCATCCTTTTCTTCCCCAATTTGCCAGCGAAAGTAGGAGCAACAGCCAATGTCATTATATTCTTCAGTGACAAAAATGTTCAGTGACAATGACCTGGAACCTTGTCTCTCATAAGTATTTGATTAAGAATGTCCAATGCTTTTATTTTGCACATCTCATTGCCATATTAAAGGAGCGCTGGTAACGCAGTCCCTAAGCCATTTGACTGCTAACCAGAAGATTGGCAGTTCAAATCCACTAGCCACTCTGTGGAGGGAGAATAGGACAATCTACTTCCATAAGGATTTACCACCTTGGAAACCCAGTGGGGTTCACTATGAGTTAGAATTGACTTGATGGCAGTGGGTTTGGTTTGTTTTTCTATTGCCATATCATACCGTAGGGAGCTCTGGTAGCGTGGTGCCTAAGGCACTTGACTGCTAACCAGAAGGCTTATGGTTCAAACCCACCAGCCACTCCTCAGAAGAAAGGTTGGGCAATATACTTCCGTAGTGATACTGCCTCGGAAACCCAAGGAGGGGTCGCTATGAGTCGGGTCTGACTGAACGGCACATAACAACAACATCATACCATACACTATTAGTGCCCTCTCTACTACTGGAAATAGGGTAATTAATGCCTTTAAATTAACCAAGTTTGTAAACCAATTTTATGAACCCCAAAACCAATTAAAAAACCCATCCTTAAAATTCTGTTAAGATTCTACTCCTCTGAAACCACTGTCAGTATTAAGTGTCTTAGTCAAGGTTCTCTAGAGAAACAGAACCAGTTAGAGAGTGAGAATTGGACAGACAGACAGACAGAGATTTACTTCAAGGAGTAAGTACAATAGTGGGAGGCTGGCAAGTCCAAATTTCATAGATCAGGCAATAGGATTGAGCGTCCTATTGGCTTGTGTCCTAAAATCTGTAAGTCAAGTGATAGGAAATATGAAAAAGAGTTCTGCCAAAATATCTATTTACATTCTGAAGGCAAAACACACCACACCCTGGGATGCATTCTGTGATATATCTAGAATAGACAAATTCAGAGACAGAAAGTAGAATGGAGGTTACCAGGGACTAGGGGGAGAAGGGTCAGGGAAAGTTATTGCTTAATGTGTATAGAGTTTTTGTTTGGAATAATAAAAACGATCTGGGAATAGTCATGATGAGTCCATAACATTGTGAATATACTTAACATCACTGAATTATGTACTCAGAAATGGTAAGTATGGTTAAATTTTATCTATCTTTTAGCAAAAAAATTTTTTTGAGTTCTTTTTTCACTTTTTTTTTAAAAATTGTGATTTGGGTGAAGGTTTACAGAGCAAATTTTCTTTCCATACAGCAGTTCACATATACTTTGTCTCATGACATTGACCACAGTTTACCACAATGCAACAGCTCCCCTCTCACTTCCTCCCCATAGTTACATCTTCCCAGTGTCCATCCCTCCATGGACTCCTGCCCCCTAAGATGTCTCCCTATACCTAAGCAGCCCTTCTTTCTCCCATGATTGTTCTCTCCAAGGAGTGTATCTGCTTGAGGTAAATGTTCAACTCATATGCCTGTCTTTTGTTTGGCTGGAAACCACAGGTGTGGGTTCAATTCCAGATCTGAAGGGCAGCTAGGAGCCATAGTCTCAGTGGTTCCACCAGGGTTTTTAGCAAAATTTTTTTTAAAAGATTTAAGAGTGAAAAAAATGTATTTTATGAGATCAACTTTTTAACATGATACCTGAAAGCCAAATGAAGAATATTATCAGTAAATTTGTTGAAATAAAAATTAAATTTTTTCTTATAGAAAATGTCCATTATTAACAAAGTAAAAATAAACAAAAAAGTAGGGAAAAGTATTTGAAACTCTTTTGCTTGGAAATACATCTGCTTTCCTTGATATGCAAAGAGATCTTACAAATCGATAAGGAAAAGATCAGCAATCAGAAAAAAAAAATTGATCAAAGAATATGAGCTGTAGTTTACAGAGAAAGAAATACAAATGGACAGTAAATATACTTCTAAAAGATGCCTAAGCTTATAAAGTAATTTAGATGAAAACAATTATAAATTTTCATTTTTCAGCTATTGGGTTGGCAAAGATTAAAAAAAAAATGGTAATATTCAGTGTTAGTGAAAATGTGGGGGAAAATAAGCTTTCCTTATTACTGATGACTTGGGAACATCTGCTGAGATTTAAAACACATACGCCATTTTACCCAGTAGTTCCAAGTGTGTAGTTAATATATGAACTAAAAGATGTTCAAAATGTCTTCCTTCATTGTTTATAGAAGCAAAAAATGAGAAACGACTTGCATGTCATTAATGGAGAATTGATGTACCTCTGTCAAATGAGAAACCATTTGAAAAGAATGAGATCCATCTATGTGTATGGAAAAAGAAAGAGGTTCATGATACATTACTTTTTTTTTTTAAAGCAAGTTTTTCCTTTATATATTATATCTGATTGAGTTTGTGTGTGAATAAAAAATAGCAGGTGGAATAGGTGCCTATCTCTGAATAGTGGCTATCTTTGAGAAGTCTGATTGGTTTGCGGAGGAGAATTGAGAAGTGTCATGTTTTTAAACTGCTTTTATTTCTGGCCCCCCACCCCAGTAGCAAGCATGTATTGAATTTAAAAGGAAAATATGCAAAGTTGTAAATTAAGAATTACACTTATGTATTTATAGTTGAAAAATTATAGCAAAATCTTTTATGGTGTGTTTCCTATTTAAGTATTGAAAATATGAACATTAATTTACAGAGGCAAAGGAGGTGCTTTTCTAAGAGCTGGAGATTATGTATAAATGAATGATTTTCTCCTTAAGACTTCAAACATCTTTGAAAGTCATAACCTGGTTGCAAGAATCATGTGTTGTATATATCTAGCATGTTAAAGCACTCTATCACTGAGGAAAGGAAAACTTAATCATCCACATAATATAAAAATTGTACTACTTATTAGCATATTTCATTTAAAATAATGTTGGGTTAAACCAAAAACCAAACTCACTACCATCAAGTCGATTCCAACTCATAGCAACCCCCATTGGATTTCTAAGGCTGTAGTCATTACGGAAGCAGACTGCTTCATTTTTCTTTCGTGTAGTGGCTGGTAGGTTCAAACCACCAACACTTTTGCTTGGCAGCTAAATGCCTTAACCACTACACCACTAGAGCTCCATAATGTTGGGTTAAAGAATAGAAGTTTATTTTAATTAAATTGGCTTGAACAATAGTTTCCAGTCTATAAAAAGAAACACTAAAACAATTTCCTTAAAAGCAATAGATACAAAGTTTTTCAGTATTTAAATTTCAAAATAATTGACTTTTAATTCTTTTTATTTTAAACATATATGATCTTGTAATAAGTATATGATAGTTGTTTTAATGTCTTTTAACTTTCGAGGGCTTTAAGTATAAAATTATGAAAATCATAGGTTAAAAATACCGAGTCTATGTGTATAACGTATTTATCTTAAATTACGGAATCAAATTTTATCCAGGTTTCGCCTTGATATATATCGCTGTTTGGCCAGTCCAGCTCTAATAATGCTAACAGAGGAGGATCCAATTCTGAGAGCATTTGAACTTAGTGCTGATTTAAAAGAACTAAGCCTTGTGGAAGTGGAATTCAGGTGGGAATGAATGGAAACTGTAAATTATATAATGTTTTTTGTTTGAGAAGCTTTGCAGTCTGAATTTCTTCATAGGCCAACTTATAAATTATGTTTATTTACATTTGATCCAAGTTGACTATAACTTGTTTCTCCTTGCTGCCATAGCTTAATTTTTTCCCTTCTTCCTCAAAGGAAGAGACAGTATGGTGCTACTTAGGTTGCTTTTGCATTCCTCTTAATCCCTCCTGTTTTCAACTTTGCCAAGGGCATTCTAGGATAGTAGAAGTGGTAGCCTAAGTTAAGAGTAAACTTACTTGCCACTGCTCCTCTTTTTCCTACCTCCTCTCATTTCCAGATTAATAATCATTCTATTATTATTCTTTAGCTCTTTCAAGAGCATATTGAATGCTTTTGTATGTCAGGATGTTCCACACACAGAAATATAGTCCCTTTTCTCTCATTAGTGAAATTTTCCTGGTGGGAGGAACATACACGTAAACAAAAATAAAATGCTGATGATCAAGAATAATTAATATAGTCTTCTGAAATGAAGATTAAGCATAATTCTTAAATCTTTGGGTGTGTTCGATACCCAAAGAATTTTTAGTTCCAATTTTTCCTAGGAGAGATAAGTATGTTTGTGTGTGGAGGGAGGAAATAAAGAAAGGCAGCTTTATTTATTTATTTATTTATTTATTTATGTTGAAATCCTTAGAAGACTTCATTCAGTGGATTGAGGAAAAGCTTTGAGATGTTCCCTTACAGGACAATATCCTCTGAAAAAGGAGTTGATCAAGATTGATACTGGCCCCTACTGCAAGGTTTCTAGGGGGGTTTATTCTGTTCCCACATTTCCTTTCATGTCCAGGTCCTACTGGAGCCCCGTGCTTTGCATGGTACCCCTCCAGTGACTTGACAAGACTGGCCAAGTTAATACTTGTACCTACTGGAAGGGCGATTGGAAGTTAGCAGTGTTCTTTAGCCTGAACAGCAGTACATAGTATGTTCTTGATTTAGTATACCTGTTTATAGCTTTTTACATTTGTGACTACTATAGTTTTATTTGGATAAATTAAAATTTGTTTAGACTTTGTGACATAAAGTATCTATTTCACTTTGATAAACACATAAAAAATGTCTAACAGCACATAAGGCTGTTAATAAATTATTCTTTTTCAAATATGAAGAACTTCCTATTATAGTCTCATACTTTTGAGTTATGAGTTCCCTTACAAGGCAAAATTCATTCAACTCCTTCTGAGAAGGATTTGATGTAACTATTATATGTAATCATAGAATAATGTAGTTAGAATTGGAAGGGATAAAACCCATTGTTTTTATAGACAGGGAAACAAATCCATAAAGTTTAGATATCTAACTAACATCAGCATCGAATTAGAAATAGAGTTAAAACTGGAAATAATAGCAGTTAGAACTAGAACATATAACTTCTAGCCTATTACATTTCTATCAAAATTGTACAATCACTTACTTGTCTTCCAGTAATCTATGAGAGATTAAGTAAAGTAGATGAATAAAATATGTTAATTTTACCTTTGCATCTAGTAGTCTATCAAATATTTATTTAGAGATGAGATATTTTTGTAATAACATACATTTTTGATGAATGTTTGCATCTGCAATTTGATTCCTAGACTAAGAAGTAAATAATACTTTATTTGTTAAAAGAAGTCTAACTTCTTCTCAGGTTGCTTTGGTTAGGTAGTAAATGACAAAGTATGAATGGGAAAAGTGTTAGCCTCGGAGGAAAAGAAATGCTTATTCTTTGAATTGTGATTTTATCCAGTGAGTCTATAAAAGCCCCATTGCATAGTAAGATTAACCAGTAGAGAATCTTCTTGTTTTTCCCTCCTTTCTCTTGCAATAACAACAGACACTGAATAAAACATTATTTTCTGCAGTTTGGCCCCAAATCCATGACTGATACTTACTTATTTCTAACTGTATTCTTAAGTTGTTACTAAACTCAAACATAAGTTAATGTAATTGATATTTTCAAAAAGGATTATGAACGATAACTTCTTTGTTTCTCACAAATTAATTTAGGTGTGCCTTTAGCAGGCATGAATCCTAAAATTGGAGCAATAGAATTCTGAAAGAGAGTTCTTACTAGGCTTGTTTTAGTTTCTTTCTTTCTAGCCTGCATTTCATTCAGCTAAGTACTTAAAAATTTATCAGAATATGGTTTTAGTATCAGAAGCTTCATGAACATGTTGTAGACTATTACTGAAAAAAATTCCTATTTAAAAATATATAGTAGCCTTTCCTGGATAGCATTAAAATATCTTATTGTTTAGATGAATAATATAAAAGAAAAACAAAACAAAACAAAAACCCAAACTCACTGCCATCCAGTTGGATCCAACTTGTAGTGACCCCTTTTGGGTTTCCGAGGTGGTATCTCTATGGAAATAGATTGCCCAGCCTTCCTTTTAAGGAATGGCTGGTGGATCTTAACTGCCAGCCTTCTGGTTAGCAGTCAAATGCCTTAGGCACTATGCCACCAGAGCGCCTTCAGACAAAACTTACAGAAGATAAGAGCAAATGAGCTAAGAGAACTGATTGACAAATACTATCAGAATTTATAAGAGTTTCAGTGTATATAATGGAAAACTGTATTTATCCAAGATTAGTATGAGCACAGGGAACATCACTATGTTACAGTTTTCCTCAAAGCTGTGGAGAAGTTAATGTACCAGTAGGTTTCTTTGACTATGTAAGCCCAAAATGACTTTAGAGTTTGTAGAGCACAGTCAGAGTTAAAATGTTACTGAGTAAAAATTTCTATGAATACAGCTTAACCTAAAGATGGTGGTGACATTTCTAATAATAGACTGTTGCATTTTGTAGGAATGATTATGAGGAACTAGCTCGGCAATGTAAAATGTTTGCTAAAGATTTGCTTGCCCAAGCCCGGAATTCACGTGAATTGGAAGTGATCCTAAACCATACATCTAGTGATGAGCCACTTGACAAAAGGGGATTACTAGAAGAAAGAATGAATTTAAGTCGTCTAAAACTTGCTATAAAATATAACCAAAAGGAGGTATGAGGTTTTCTGTAATAGGTTTTAATTCTTTCCTCCACAGTAGTCTAGTGGCTCAGAGCAAAGGCTTTGGAGTGACAGGAGTTGAGATCCTAGTTCAGCTTCCTACAATCTCTGTGTCCTTGGGAAAGTTATTGAATCTATCTGAGTTTTCATTTTAAGAATGAATTAATATATTTAAAGGATTTAGCAAAGTAAGTGCTAGCATTAGGCAAGTAGTCAATAAATGATAGTTGCTATTATTTCTAAAAATTAATATTTGTTTTTGCTAAATAGTAGCTACACAGGTAAGAACCTGTGTAGCAAGTGCCTTTATAATGAAATTTCCATCTTGTGTTTTGCTGTCATGGATTTGTTTTCTTGAGCTGGTTATCAACAATTCTTTCCATAGTAACAGTTCCTTTCTATTTAAAAATATTCAATATTATATCTCCTAATTCTTCTTATTTGTTAATTCTTTGTGAAACCCAAAGTTGGAGAGGCACATGATATAACTAATCTGAATCTGGTTGTCTGGCATCATCCCTTCCTATTTAGGGAAATACCCATTTCTACTCCCGATACATACACATACATGATTCTGGAACTTGAGGAAGGAAATATGCACTTTAGATTTAACTTTTTGAGATAATTTGCTAAACATGAATATTTATAGGTAGATGAGAATCTCTAGTTAATAGTATGGGATATTGAATAAATGTTGCTTTTGAAGAATTCCTTCTAAGACCTATCATTTCCAATATTAACATAGATGTTGAGGTAAAGCTTGATTATCAAATTTATATTAACATAAAAATGGGTCTCTAAATAGGTAATGGTAGAAGGCAAGATATAGGACTTTTGGTCTCGGTTGATAATTTGAGACTCAATTTGAGGAAATTGATACAGGAAATTTAAGGTCAAATTCAAAGATTACCTAGCCAATATATGGTTTATCCAGATCTCTGGCTTTAAATCCTATACTTTTCATAATATTCCAGGGTTCTTTCTTGAAATAGAACATTTATAGGAAAAAAATTAAGTACATGAATTTAGATCTCTGTGGATATAAGATTGTAAGTCAACAACACACCTGTGTGGATTAAAAAGAAATACTCTAAGTAGAAACAGAGAATATAGGATCCCTTATCCCTTAATCTTCTTTTAATTACACATTTTGACTTGATCTTAGAACAGATTTATTTCTATGTTCTACAACCAAAATGGACATAAAATAGTAGAAAGATGATAGAATAAAGGGATACAAGGTACACAGTCAACTTAAATGATTAGAAGAGACCCTAAGAGAAATATGGAAATTATCAGGATTATCTTGATTAGGGAAGAAAATCTAAGAGACCATTCCCTATTGAAGGACTCCCTGCATCACCATGTCTGAGGTGTCAGTTGGAGATAACCACAGGACTTGGGATTGTAATCAGCTAGAGGCCTCTTCCCTCACCTGTCTGATGCCTGGGATTATTGACTGGAGTGCCTATATGTGGCTTTTCTTATGTAGCTTGGGTTTCCTCACAGCATGTTGGCTTCAGGGTAGTATGACTTTTTTTACATGACAGCTCATGGCTACAAGAGCAGTGTTCCAGTGAACACTGCTTGCCATTTTTAAGAACTAACTTTAGAAATTAGATAGCATCCTCCCATATCTATAGGTTAAAGCAATCACAAGCCTATGATAATATTAAAAGAAAATGAACATTTACCCCACCTCTGGATGGGAGGAATGTCAAAGAATTCTTGGCCACATTTTAAAACCATGACAGACTTAGAATATTTCCAGTCAAAACTTTGGTCTTCCAAATATACATTTAACATTAAAAGACAAAAGAAACTCACTGCCAGCAAGTCAATTCCAACTCATAGTGAATTCCAACTCACAGAAAACCCCCTTTGGGTTTTCAAGGTGGTAAATCTTTACAGAAGTAGATTACCCAGTCTTCCTTCCACAGAGTGGCTGGCTGGTGGGTTTGAACCACCAACCTTCTGGTTAGCAGTCAAATGCCTTAGGCACTATGTCACCAGAGCACCATATTTAACATTACTGTTAATTAAATCATCATTATATAAAAGGATGGCAGGAATAGCAATCACCCTAAGATTGCTTTCATACTTGAGGGATGGGAGACACTAAATTTGGGATTCTACTAAACTGGGTACTTGGTAGGAAGAAATGCTATTTCTCTCCCAGGTATTTCACCTTGAGGCACAGATTAAGATTTCCTAAGAATACTGAAATCTAAGCAGAAGAATAAAGAATGAAATAGACTTAAAAGTAAATACAGTATATTAGGAAATTCCTTGGTAAGCACAATAAACAACAAAATAAAATCTATGCAGGTAGTATTTTTTCTACTACAGTGTCATATTCCACAAATTATATTCTATCTTATAATCTTTTTTAAAAGAGAAAATTGTCCAAAATTATCTTGGATTAGCTGAATAATTTTATGATTATTCATAAAATTCATAATGATCTACTTATCCTTTACTTTGGTAATTTCAAATCTAATTAATAATACTGTATCCAGAGTTATCAAGACCCTTAAGTTATAAGTCACATTTGCATTATAAGGGAAAATTTTGCCTCTGAAATTTATAAAGAGCTTTGTATACTCTGGTAAATTAATTCCTGTAGTTGATCTAGAATTTCCCTCTTATTTGGGAATATATTTCTCTTTTGTCTTTCTTTTTTGTCAAAACTCAATTTTAAGAAGGTTCAGGCATACCTTTAATACATTTAAGAAATCCTCAGTGTTTTGCATGAACACATCTACTATTTAGACTTTGGTTGTTTTCCTATCTGAACATTTTGTTTTCTTGATTAATAGTTCTAACTAAAATCAATAGTTTCTCTAGACCAAAGATATTTAAGAATTAATTAGTAAGTTGTTTTTTTTTAAAAAAAGTATTATGCCATATAATAAATATCTTAAATGACCTCAGTTAAGAGTGGTGTCTTTTTTTTGTGGATTGTGCTTGTTAACTTTGAAATTTCATGTAGTGTAAAACTTTTATAAATTGAATGTGATGAAATGGCTAAATAGACTATTAATAATAATAGTTAACACTTGTATAGGGCATGCTATATACCAGGAGCTATTCCAAAATCTTACATTTAGTCCACACAACAACTTTATGAGTAGGTACTGTTATCATCCTCATTTTGTAGATGTGGAATTGAGTCTGAGAGGGTTAAAAGCTTGCTCGAGGTCATTTAGTAAGCACACAGCCTGAATTTGAGCTTTGGTATACTGGCTCCAGAGTCTATGCTCTTAACCTCTACTCTCTTTGATTTTATCATTTGTAAGGAATTTAAAAAAGTAGTAGATTGAATGTATAGAATTGATTTTTAAACTTTGTCAACTAAATAATGGTTTTATTACTTAATCTTTAAAGCTTTTATTTTGCATTTGTGTGTGTGTGTGTGTGTGTCCTTTTCAGTTTGTCTCCCAGTCTAACTGCCAGCAGTTCCTGAACACTGTTTGGTTTGGACAAATGTCAGGTTACCGACGTAAGCCCACCTGTAAGAAGATAATGACTGTTTTGACAGTTGGCATCTTTTGGCCACTTTTGTCACTTTGTTATTTGATAGCTCCCAGATCTCAGTTTGGTAGAATCATTCACACACCTTTTATGAAGTTTATTATTCATGGAGCATCATATTTCACATTCCTGCTGCTACTAAACCTATACTCTCTTGTCTACAATGAGGATAAAAAAAACACAATGGGGCCGGCCCTTGAAAGAATAGACTATCTTCTTATCCTGTGGATTATTGGTAAGTATCAAATTAAGTTGAAGGCTGTGCCTCTATTTAGCCTATTAATTCTCCCTTGTTTGGTGGTCTTATGAACATCTGAGTGTAATTTGTAAGTTTACACTGTACGCAGGAAGAATTTGAACTCTTTCATGATCCTTGAAGACCTAACACTTTTGTAAAGACAGATGTTCATGATAAGATTTGATGATAAGAACACAGATCTCATATTTAATATTATTTAAATGCATGGGAGATAAACATTCTTTATTCTTAGATTCTGAAGTTGTTCATAATTGTTTAAAAAAATAATAATTCTACTAATTAGTGCTTTTTTGGTAAAAGAGCATGAACTTTTTCGTCATTATTTTTTAACTTAATGCATTTTATACTCTGTTGGATTTTTAAAGTTAGCTCTTTTGTTTCATTATATGATTAGTTTTCATTTTGAAAATCTGTGGACTTTTGTAGTTATATCTTACTTTATCTCTAATGTAGAAATAATATTTAAATTTAGCTTTAAAGAGGTCCCTGCTGTAAATCAGTCCTGTGTGACAATAGCCAGATCGCCTTAGGAATGACAGGATTTTTAAAACATACGACATTTCATTTTCTAAAAATTGTCTTTTTGTAAGTATTATACTGTGTAATAAGTAGCTCAAATGACCTTCTGCAGTTTTTACTTCTCATAAAGGGAGGGAGGGAGAGTCACATGATCTTTCTTGGTTTTTTAATGACATCTTTATTTCCCTTTGGGTCTTCAGCCTTGTTTTGAACCTCAGCATTTCCCAACTGTCCATTTGCTGTAGAGCAAAAGAACATTGAAATTTAATCTTTTCAGTGGTATAAAGCACTGATTTTATTTGTAAAACTGTATTTATCTTTTGATTGATACGTTCTAGATTATTTTAATTATTAAATAATTTGAGAAGAGTTATTATACAGGGTTCACTTTTAGTTCTTCTTCAGGTATGAAAGTAATTTTCAGATTTTGCAATTTTTATTTTTATTTGGAAATCATTTCAAGTAGCTTGCTTTCAATCAGAATTTTAATATTAGAAGTAATCTGTCCATGATGCATTAATGCTTAAAATTAGATAGATAAAGAAAAATGATATACATCTGGATTCTAGGTTAAAGAGAGTGAAATAATTTCTTCTAGTTAATATTTCTTGTTTCCTATTTTTCTTTTATCTAAAATATTAATATTTTAAGTAATAATTTAGACTTTATTATATGTGGTTATAGTGCCTAAGGCACTTGACTGCTAACCAGAAGGCTGGTGGTTCAAACCCACCAGCCACTCCTCGGAAGGAAGATGGGGCAGTCTACTTCCGTAGTTATACTGCCTCGGAAACCCAAGGAGAGGTCGCTATGAGTCGAGTCTGACTCGACGGCACATAACAACAACAACATATGTGGTTTAATATTGCATTGTTCTGGGTATTTCCAATGTCAAATTTGTTTACACTGTTATTTCAGTTGTTGTTATTGTTGTTACATGCCGTCAAGTCGGACCCGACTCATAGCGACCCCTCCTTGGGTTTCCGAGGCAGTATCACTACAGAAGTAGGATTGCCCAATCTTCCTTCCTTAGTAGATGAAAAAAATATATAAGGTGGAGAAAAATCTCTAAATACTATATGTATTTTCCTTATATTCATTTAAACTATCTGGGAAAGATTGTTATATATGTATACCTTAGTCTTAAAGAAAATATATTTTATATTATTTATCCTTAACTTACTGTTTAGTAGTAAGAAAGAATATTTTCTTTGTTTTGTAAATAAGATTCCATTTAATCAAGTTTGTATAAGAATCAGATTAAAATGTATTATTCTCAGTAATGAGTAAACATTCACAGAACTCAAAGAGCCATATCACTCTCTGAGTAGTATAAACATTATTGATTTTTGTAATAACAGTGAAACTTTGGCCAATCTATTTTAAACACGACTGCTGTATTTCTAGTAACACACACACACCCATTAATTTTCTAACTCATATTCTGCTTCACTAGAAGAATGCATGTCAATGAAGCCAGTTAAATTTCTGGAAGTGTTTTACATTTCTCAGCACAGCTTCTGCTTTGAAACAGTTAGATCTATGTAAACCTTGCCAAGAATATCTTCTGAGCCTGTATGTAATTAGATACTATCTGAGTTCTTTAAATATATAGATTTGAACCTGCTGTGAGTATGTAGGAACAAAGGCAAAGTGGTTCAATTTTTATTTCAAGCAATGAATACAGAAACTTTTGCCTCTTGATGACCAACTTTATGTATTTGCTTTCCTGTCTTCTCCTTGTAGGTTAAGTTATAAAAGACAAGGTATGAAAAATAAATGCATTGATGAATGCACAAAATATCAATGGCATTCTTTTATCTTTTGCTGTTAGAATATAATAGAGCAGATACTATAAAAACATTTTAATAAGTGCCTGTTCTTTCTAAGCATGGACAGAAACCTCTATTAACTGAACAGAAACATCTATGGCCCCCGTACTTATGGAACTTAAGATCTAATTAAGGTTAACTTGAGAATCGCATATATAAATGAAAAAAATCACAAATGAATTAAGAGCTACTTAATAAAGGAACATGATGCCAGGAGAACAAGCATATTATAGGGGTGTTTCATCTTGCCAAGTAGATTTGAAAGTCTATCTTGAAGAAGTGATGAATGAGCTAAGATCTAAAGGATGAATAGGAATTAATAGGAGAATTGAGAGAGAAAAGTATTCTAGGCTGAGATAAGAGCATCTGCAGAGGCCCTGTGGCAGGAGGAAGCATGATGCAAAGAAGGGACTGAATAAAGGTTAATGTTACTGGAGCAAGAAGAACAAGGGGAGTATGATGTAAGATAAAGCTGTAGAAACATATGTTGCACCAGACCATCTACAGTCTACAAATGATTTTGACTTTATACTAAGAACAATGGAATACCATTAAACACCACTAAAGTTTTTTAAGTAGAGGAGTGACATGATCTGATCTGCTTTTTGAAAATATTCTTCTGTTTACAGTGTGGGAAAATGGCTTAGGAGAATAGGGCTGTAGCAAGAATAGATGGAGGGAGACCAATAAAGAAACATTGCAGTGATCTACATGAGAACTGATGATACCTTGAATGAACTTAGAGTGACTGAGATAGAAAAGAGACAGGGACAGATTTGAGAGATATTTATAAGGTAAAGGCATTATTAGAACACAGAAATACATAGTATATAGGAGGTGGGGAAGCAGGACGTTATTAAGCAACATAGGAATTTTGGAAAAGTACTAGGTTGAGGATTTGTGGGGGAAGAGTAGATCCTGAGTGTGGTTTTGCATATGTTGAATTTGAAACAGCTTTGAGATATCTAAGAGAGATGTCAATCAGACAATTGGATATTATTGTCTAGAACTCAAGAGGAAGTCTAAACTGAAGATAGTAATTTGTACATAAGTTGTATATAGATGTATTTGAAACTATGCTTATGGATGAGACATTTAAAAAGAAAGTATGAAATGAGAAGAGAGAACCTTAAATCAAGTCTTTAGAAATATTTGTTGTGTTGTTATGAGTCGGCCCCGACTCATAGCAACCCCTTCTTGGGTTTCGGAGGCAGTATCACCACCAAAGTAGATTGCCCAACCTTCCTTCTGAGGAGTGGCTGGTGGGTTTGAACCGCCAGCCTTCTGGTTGACAGGTGCTTTAGGCACTATACTACCAGAGCTCCCTGAGAAATGTTTACTAATTTTAAAAAATAAAGAAAAAAGAAACACCTGAAATAGGATACATTGATTGTGTAGTGATTGCATTACTTATAATAAGTTAAAATTATTTTGTTTTTTTCAATCCAACTCAGAAATTCACAAGGTATTAGCTTTATTTTGGTGAGGGGGTGTTGCACATGAGACAGGAAACTACCTGATGGTGAGCTTCACTGTTCTTTCATGTTTCTGCTTTTTTGGTCAAAAGTCTTCTCTAATTCATGTTGTAACTTTTTGTTAAGAGTTAGGTATAATGTTGCATTTTACAGAAATAAAATACTTATTTCTCCAAGCATCTTTCTGGGTTCAGTGTTTCAATGTTAAGAGGAATGGGTCTAAAGTTTAAATATAGACACTTTAGTTTGAAGATATAGATAAGGAGCTACATACACTTTATATCAGGATACAGGATTTGATAATACTTTTGAGTTCTTGAAGAAAGATGGAATTTGTTTAATATGTTCCTTCTCTGTAGCCCCTGGCCTGGGTAAAGGTTGATCTTGACAAATATTAAGAAAGCTTTTTTCATCCCAACCCTTTCTCCAAATAAAAGAAAACAGTCTTTGAGTTAATAAAATGTTACCTGTTGTACTATTTTGTTTAACATTTTTAGGCAGTTTTTACCGATTCCTTTTTAATAGAAACTCATCCAGGTGGAAGTTTCTTAAAAAAGTGTTTTCTCTGTCAGCTTTGAAAATATTTTTAAGTGTTTTTCTACGTAAAATATGGGTACTGTATAATTAAGATGTTATGAACAGAGGTTTTCAAGAGTGTGTCATGTCTTTCCCAGGGTCCTTACTCTGGTACCTGGTAAACCAGAAAAGGATTCTGCTTGATTTCCACCCCAATGTTATGCTCACCACTCTATTTATTTATTTGTTTGTTTGTTGTTGTTATCTTCTCCTTAAAAATGTCTTCATGAAGGAATGTACCATTAAACTACGTTGTAGTACGGCTCTCTGGTGTTCATGTTGTTGTGTTGTTGTTATGTGCCATCGAGTAGGGTCCGACTCATAGTGACCCCTCCTTGGGATTCCGAGGCAGTATCACCACGGAAGTAGATTGCCCCATCTTCCTTCTAAGGAGGGGCTGGTGGGTTTGAACCGCCAGGCTTCTGGTTAGCAGTCAAGTGCCTTAGCCACTATGCTACCAGAGCTTCCCTGGTATTCATAGGAATATGTAATTATAGAGGAACTTCTAGCCCCCAAAAGGGGAAAGTTTTTCTGTTGGTTTGATTTGGTTTGGTTTTTCAGTATGTTTATTCAT